AACTGAATTCTGAACAGCTGCATGTACTAGAATGGATATAATTATTCACTGTAAATTTCAAAAATAAGGATATCTTAGTCCTAAGAATGTTATATATTGTTGTTATTGGTATTACAATATTTCCAAATTGTGTTGTAAATAAAGCATCTGACTTGGGCAATTCCACTAACTTTGATCACAGTCCATCTCTGATTGGTAATTTCACTCCTTCATCTGTTCCAAGAAGCATTGCTCTAATTAAATACGCACACATAAATACAAATATATGATTATAAAATACATTAGAGTAGTAGTATACCTCACCAGATCCTTAGTGCCTCTAGTAATCAGATGATTCCCATATGTTCCATATTGTTTAAGCAGCCAATTTAAGATTCTTGGATTTGATTTACATAAGCGTTTATTGCTAAGCATTGCAAATGAAATCAGAAGAATCTAATGTTTTAAATGTGGCTCTACAATATTTTGCCATATAATAAAAAGGTACTCAAAAACATTTTGGAAACTCTAAATTATAACTATCACATCATGATCAAATGAGGAAAAATCTCACGAGAAAATTAGCTTCTCTGATGGCCAGCTATAGGGAAGAAGGTGCTACACTGATGCATTATCAAAAGGGAGAAAACCCAATGCAGAATAACACATCAAATTACTATAATGCATTCCTTGCACTCCATTAAGTAAATCAAAAATCTTACTAGAAAAAAAAACAACTGATTGTGTAATTGAAAATGGTGTCCATTAGTAAGAAATGCTGAGAATTAAAATTCAAGTTTTGCGTGTTATTACTAAATATCTTTTTTGCATATTACATATATATTAGTACAGCTCAGAGCGTTATAAATCCTCACCATCTCTGAATTTCCCTATCAAATATTCATTTAAGTAATTCACTTTATAATGAGAGAGACTTTCAGATTCTACAGCAAAAACTTCCAAATTCTTTTTCTAGCAATGCTGATGCCATCAGAGATGAAGATCTGAACTCTAACATCTGATTTCCTTTGCCCCTGAGGCAATTAAGTGACACAAACGGGCGTTAATACAATGCAAAATCCCCTTCACCAAATCCAAACCTAAAACAACCTGAGACATGCAAACAATCCAACTGCAAGGACAGAAAGGGAAAGATAAAACAAAAAAACCAGAGTACCTGAAGTGTTCTTGCTGAGCAAACAGGAGAAATGCCAGCAAAACAAAGCCTTTCCAAAAGCTTTAAAATCCCTTTTGGCTTTAAAAAACTCACCATTCAACTTAAATTCTATACCTCTTTTCTAGATTTGTGTCTCACAAAGGGAACATTATAAATGAAATATCTGTAAAGACCAGGAAAATACCTTGCTTAAAGGACCATACGTTTTCCTAACCATACAACAAATTATTGCAAATATAGACAGGAAAATATAGGTTGGGAATCTTCAGTTACTGTTATTAATGATCTACTGCAAGGGATGCTTTATTGCAGGCTGTCATGCTTAGATGGCCAGATGGCATCAATGGCAAAAATGTCATCTCTCATTTCTACTTGCCTAGAATCCCTGTCCCATATAAGACCTGACTGTAACAGTTCATCAATTGGGAATCATGCACTTTTCTTTCAATTACTGCAGCTGAAATTGATTGCAAAATGCAGAATCTTGGTTTGCACAGAGTGATTATAGAAGAGGATTACTGTGCTTTTCTGATTTTGTGCCTCCGTGGTTTCAATTGCAAGTTTTACTCCTAATTTTCTAAGGAACTACTGGCTCAAACTCTGAAGCATGATAAAGATGTTTGGTCTATGAGTCATTATGGAAGTACACTAGTCTAAAGCAATGCAGATCAAAAAGCTGATGATAAATCACACAAGGAGCGGCAGATAATAGGTTTTCTGAGCCAAGGAGAAATTAGGGAGCATCTTTAGGAAAGTCTGTGAAACTTCTTCAGAAAAGACCTTTTTTGGAATGAAATCCTAGTGTTAAAAAAAACTAGGAATGGCATCAAAGAGCCATATTTCCTCATAGAGGTAATTGACTGCTATTTTGGCTGTAGTGGATTAGCTCAAACATGGCTTAAAGTGAGGTGGAAAAACAGCTGCTACTTACTTTTATATTATATTTACCAGTGTTCCTATTTTTAAAGACAAGTGCATTGATATTCTGGAAGAGCATAAGATCCTGCCTGTCCACAGTACTCAGCACTAGTAAAGTCAGTACAATCAAATGGCAACAAAGATACAGAAGTGAGCAAGTGAGCAAGTGGGATCACATCAATCAAAGGAAGATGTCAGCTCTGGCAGTCATTTCACAGCAACGTGAAGGCCAGCGCTAGGAACTGTCCAAGAAGGTTAAGCTGAGAGTACAGATACAATATGGGGTCATAATTATTATTACTGAAGAGAGTATACCAATGGGACCTGAACATATTTTGTTAAATTACTTAGGCTGTAGGTTGGTACAGTATAAACCAGTGGTGATCCTATTTCCTTTTACAGAGAGAGCTTTCCATTTTATAGACTCCTTCATGTTGCACTATGACTTTCCTAATATCCTTTCAAAGATAAAAATCCAACCAATTTGTTTCACTTTAATTGCATTCAGTGGCATTGTTCAGAGAGGAAGTAAGCAAACTGCAGCTTCGGTTCATTTTCCTACACCTTTGTGACATTAAATTTAACTTATGTATTTTTTTTACAAGTATTTATAAAGTAAACCCAGGAGCATGCCCATGGAATTTGAATAAGTATCAGTTCAAAGAGAAGAAACAGCTTTCAGGAGAAGGCTTTTAGAAGTTCTTGCACTCCGCAGCCTGAAGCAACTAATGTGCAAGACAGAAGGGAACTGTGGACTGGAAGAAAAGGCTAGGCTGTGTCAACTGAGGAAACAGCACAGCATCCTCATGGCATCTTCACTTTCTTTATCATCACATTATCTGCAAATGCTCTGGCTCACAACTGGCTTACATTTTAGAAAAACTAACTTTTTCTGGCTGAGCACACATTGGCTTGAATAAGTCTTCAAGCCAACAATTACAATGAATAAGTCTAAAATTTTACTTTGAGTACAAACCCCAGTATCACATGCAGTCACTTCATTAACAAAAGTTTTACAATTCAGACTAGATTAGATCGTTACAGGCTACAGCATATGAGGGCAGTAAAGCACCCCTCTTGCCTAAGCTCTTGTAGTATCAGGAGCATGAAGCCCTTCCAAACTCTAAAGTTAGCAGTCAGTTAGATTCTGAATAGACTAGAAAAGCAGATAACCATGATCATCATCATTATCATCGTTCTATTTCCTCTATTATTTTAGAGGGCTGAGATTCCATGACTGCTTCTCCATCTGTTTTCGGTGCTAAAGAATTATTTTTCAGAGCATGGAAAGCAACCATGAAATGTCTCAAAACACCATGACGTGGTCAGAACAAACATCTAGATGTTTTCCTCAAGAGGTGTCTTAAATATGCTTCTGATTCCAGGCTGGCAGTTCACAACTCTTTCTCTTACCAGTGGCCTAAAAGACTGCCTACACTGTGAACATTATATTCAGACCTCTCCCCTACGTTCATTCAACAGAAGAAATTCAATAGCCTGACAAAAAATTTTTAAAGGTGCAACTTTCAGAAAGGACCTTTCCAAGATTATGTGGCCAGTAAGAAGAGAGTATTGTTTCCATAAAAAAAAACCTGAGTGTGGTTTATAGAGTGTGGTACATAGAGTTTATAGCTTTTTTTATTGAATGTAGCTCTTAAGCAGCAAAGAGAATATAATAGTTCAGTGTTCTCTAAAAGTTAAATACTTCAATTCAGTGTAATCCAAGCCTTCCTTTCACTTGCTAGAACGATTTTCATCCAGATCTTTAAAAAGCTGGTAGAATATTTACCCTTTGTAAATGTGACTGGAAGATGTTAGAAAGCAGAACCCAGAATACAGCAGAATGGAAAGATGTGCCAGTCAGCATTATGCTGACCTACTTTTATTGTAGCAATCCCATATCTGAAGATATGTCAGAATTATTTTTTTTTCAGAAAAGCAGCACAATGAGGTGTCACCAAAATGCTGCTTATCATTAAAGATGTTGCTTTATGACTGCAACTACTTGTCTCTATGACTGACAATCTTAGTCAAGGAGCTTCCACATTAATGTGCAGTATCACATTCTTAAAGGAACAAATGGTTCTATGATAGAAATATGTGGGACCGAGCAAGATGCCAATCTACAGTAAACAGTGCTGGTTTATGGATTCTAAGATTGTAAAAACTGGAGAGACACATGTTTTCAGATGTCCAATGAGAGAGCTGCTTGGGCTGCTTCTTTTTGCTATAAGCCCTTTTCAACAACTTTTTCAGTGTAGTACATATAAAAATGTCCTCTATATTGCTGTGTTATCTGACTTGATAAAGAACTATATTTTTCATAGCCATTGTCCTTTAAGAAGAATATCATTACTCTTCCTTATAAATAACGCACAGTTACATTCTGTCCTTGAACATTCTGTTCCCACACAGAAGAGTATCATACAACTAAATCTATTTATCTTATTTTACTTAGAAAAATTTCATGTTGACCTTTAAGATGGGAACAACGGATCGTGAGATGACCCAGACATTATTTACAAAACAAACTGAGGATAACATTAGATGATGCAAACAGCAATAATATACTTTCAGGAGCATTCTGAAACTACAGATTAAACTGAAACCACTGGTGAACTGAGTGTTCCATATTTCTTTTGGTGGTTTTTTTGGGGGAATGAGGGTTAACAAATTAAAATTACCTTAAAACTGAGAGTATTTTCTGGCTCATTTACTAACCATGAGTCAATATCATGGTATTGATGATAAGGACTGCAAAACAAACTTTAGTTCATTAGCAAGTGAGCCAATAAAATACAGAAGTAACTTTGAATAAATTGCAGGGCAGCATATTACTAAGCATGTAGTTTTACACTAAGTTCTGAAGCTAACTGTTTAGAATAGTAATGTTTAGAAAGCACAATGAAAAATGAACAATACTTACAACCATACCGTTTAGGGACACCCAGCAATCTGGTGGGAAATCCTGGAGTAATGGTACTAAAAACTGTAGACAACCATCCCAGTGGCACAGCAGGAGCATCATTCCAATGAGATTAAAGATTCTCACCACTGCACTGGCCAGATCATACGTCATGTGGAAAATCTGCAGACAGAAAATACAGATGATGTACATGTTGCAAATCAGAAACGCAAATAATTTCATTCTTATCAGGCAGGTTAAAGGAAAACAAGTATCACCCTGAACTTCTAAAAAAGCTGAGGTTTCTCAGCAAGGACCATTAATTTGAGCATGGTAATTTCAGCAGAGAACTATGCTGACACACCTGACTCTTGGCTGCAAGCCAGGGTTATGTAAGCTGCTGAAAAAGGCATATATTGGATAGAAGTCACCTGCTAAAGTGTTTTCTTAAAGCTTACAATTCCTTTCAACTGAAGCAAGACTCACAAATCAAAAAAGCTTGGTAAAGCTAGTGAAACCATTACTTTTGTATGAACTTGGTATTTAAATACTCACAAACTTGTGGGACATTTAATGACCCCTTCAGAAAATTCACTTTTACATTTATTACCTTCTTAAAAGCAAAAAAATCTGACTGAAGAAACAATATGAGTAGTGTTACATTTTTTGACTTCTATTTCTATACTATTTGCATGTACCAGTTCACCAAGCAAAAATCACAAAAAGATAGTTAATTGCTCTTAATCATTAGCTATTTTCCTGAAATACTGATAATTTTATGGCTACTCATCTGTAGTAGCTAAGTTTATATTGAACTAATACAGTAATTTGGATTTCAATATATTCCTCCATTCTTATGACAAAAAAATGTTTGCATATGAAAAGTGCCTTTCAGCAAATCACACATATAATTCTCAAAAACAACACAGACATTTTCAAGTTTGTGATGGGCAAATTTGTTGGGCAGAATTTGCATGAACAGCAGCAGTCAGCTGCCAAGTAGTATGGAAAAATACATTTAGCACTTTTCTGCTATATTGGTTTCAATGTACTTCCAAAATGTAAATACAGACATATTCTTTACTTATTAATAATTCAGTCTACTCAATATAAATATATAACTTCTTTATATGCATAATTATCACTATGCAGGTGTTACATTTAGGAGATGAAGAATGTCCAGTTGTTATTTCATGGAATTTTAAGTTGAAAATACTATTTAATTGTATGGATAGACATAGAACGCAGAGGCTTTAGGAGATGAAGATGAAAACATCAGATTGCGAGAGGTATACAGGCATACGGGCACATGACATTTTGTATTTGTAAATAAAAGAATTCACACATGAAAGACAGAATATTTGTATCCTAACTTTTATATATCTAAACTAAAAGCAGAGATTAAGTATCCACCTTGTAAATGAGTGCAAGTACAAATATGGAAAGCAAATTGTGGTGTCTTTAATTTCCTGTTAGTGCGATTTGGTTCTTGTTTGAAAATGACAGTGTATATTTTGAGTCCCAAAATGCAAAACCTGCATATTAGAAATATACCTCAGACACTAACTCTGTGGACAAAACCTTTTTTCAATCTAGGGGACCTTAAGAGAACATATTCCAAATTCCAGTTCGACAATCATTGGAAATAGGTGCTTGTAACATAAGCCTTATCCAAATACCATCTAGCTGCTGCCAAAGTTGAGCAGATGACACTGATATTTAGGAGATACTGTAAATGGAAAGAAACAGAAACTGTCACCATTATACATTTTTCTTATTGAGAAATGTATTTTTGTTACAGCTATTTCAATAGTTTAAGTTTCAGTAGCTGATATGAACTTTTCAAAATAGTGGACGTGTACACTGAAATTATTTTATTTTAAAGAACTGGAAAAAATAGCAAGGATTACTACTGGTTTGGAGCACCAGCACGCATTCAGGTTGTACTTTGTCTATATGGTTACTATACTAAAACTGCAAAGTGCAGATAATTCCTGATCACACGAAAATTTTCAGTTTTCCTTCAAACTTCCCATTAGGCTTTACTGTAAGAGACGCAAGGGAGGATGAGGTTCTCAAAACTCTCTGGAGACCAAAACCCAGCACTCACGTATACTCAAGGCTCCTGAACCCTTATCCTGCCTCTGCAACTATGGGCTTAGGCATTATGCTGTAGGGTTTGGGCTCTGCAAGGACTGTTCTATCTTATCACTGTTTTCTTCAAAGCTTTTTCATTAGTACTGTGGCTCTGCAGAAATGGTCACATACTGCAAGAACGAGAACATGTTGAAAATTTTATGTGAAATCAAATCCATCCAAGGAAATGACTGCAACAGTCTGTGTACAACACTGCAACCTTCTATCAGTTCTGAAACTGTTGGCTCCAGAAATAGTTCCTGGGAAGCTTAGTGTGCAGTGTTAAAAATGCATGAACATATCTGGGATATTATCTAGATTGCATAACACAGTAATGTTTTATCAGCTTTTCAAACATACTATACTTTTATCACTAGTCTTTTGCTTATATAGTTTAATATTTATATATCTATCCTAATACCTATGATAACTCTGTATTAAAGAAAAGAACTTAAAAAAAAATCTTAGGCAAGATTTTTAAAAATCTCTGCCTGTTCTTCCATCAGCAAATAACAGTTGATATTTTTTTTGCCAAAAAAGGAACTTCTTATGGCAATATGTGTTTGGTTTGAAAAAACAAAACAAAACAAAACAAAAAAATACCCCAAGCATACTTTGTACAATGTAAACAAGAATATTTGTTCATAGTATTGTATTGATATATTTACATTTGGGGCCTGGGAGGAGTGCGGCTTTTTAATAGCCAAAATGCTCTGCGGATTGAAGTCATATATTGCATGTTTAAAGTTCTTCCATTCAGGAATTGATTGAAACAAGAATAGTAAAGAAGTCATCTTTTTATAGTATTTATTTGTAATCACACATTACAATTCCAGTATTAATGAGCTAAACCTCATATTAAAACTCATTAAAACTCCTAGGAGATGTGTGAAGTGTAGTTTGCTAGGAGAGAAACTAGAGGACAGGAAGTCAATGTCACTTGTTTAAGCAAATGGTGGCTTGTCCATCAGCTGCTTCTTCCGTGGGATAGGAAGAAATATAAGACCACAAATCAACTTAACTTGATTTTGTAGTATGGATGTGTGGTCAAATCTCTCTGTTTCAATGGATTTCTTAATAAGATACTATTCATAACAGAAATAACTCAAACACTTGCACATAAGTTAGGTCCCTAAACCCTTATGTAGTTAAATATAAGTGCCTGTCCATCATTAAACACTTACCATCCAAAAATGCCATGCAATTAAGCAGGAATTACAGCTGTAAAACACATTTGAATATCTGGCCACTTTATTTAGATTCTAGTTTCATACCTAAATATTCAGCTTAAGCAGAAGGAGTTGAAAATTTTGGACAATGTATTTCCAAAAAATTACTAAAGTGACATGAGATTACTGCACCTGAGAAAAAATTAAAATTCTCTTGAGAACTGTTTTCACACTTTTATTTTACATAATAGGACAGAGTTCATAGATATTTCTCCTTTTTTTGTTACTACTCAGCTTCATTTCAATTACACATGATACTTTTTATTATTATCATGTTTATTTGGGGGGTTTGGCTATAGTGCTGTCATTTTTCATAGTTTCCATGTACTTTAAAATCATGTCTAATAAAAAATGTAGTTTGCGAACTCACTTCTAAGAACTCGTAGTTTTTTCCTTTTCTAACCTTTTCTCGATAGCCTGGAAATCTTAAATTTTTGCCTGAAGAACTCACAATGCCTCTGATAATGTCTGAAATGAAACCATAGATTAACAGTTTCTGATATTTTGGCAAAGTATTACAGAGTACAAGAAATAGCTGAAGAAGTCAGAGTTCACATGTTTTATCTCAGTTTTCACTCACACTTTATTGACTCTTTTCATTCCCACGTAAGAAGCAGAAAGCAGACTATTCCTTCCTCACATTTATAATGGATCGTATACTTCAAATCAGTCCTGCTAACCGACTTTTGAGCCTGAGAAAGAAAAACTGTTCCAGTCTTACCAGCCCACTTGCTGAATAGTATTTGGGGGCTGTCTTAGTAAATTAACAGTGCACATATAGTTTAACCAAGTGAACACAGAATCTTTTGAACTGCTGTTGTGGAACGCATGGGTTACCTCTTCTGCCTTCTGATAAGTGGCACGTAATATTTGTTCAGTTGTGATTTTTAATTCAGTTTATACACAACCATACAACTATTAAGATCATCAACTCCAACCTTTGACCAAACACCACCTTGTCAACTAGACCATGGCACTAAGTGCCACATCTAGTCATTTCTTGAACACCTCCAGGGATGGTGATTCCACTGCTTTTGATTATTACATTCAGTTTAGATAAAAATTGACTTATAAAAATTATTAGAATTTTTCTAATTAAATAACAACAAAAAAAAATACTTGGGACTTCTTGGAAAAATTTATTCACCTCTCCCATCATTGAGCTCATGCTGACACTTCTTCCATCCTCAGAAGGACTAAAGGTGCTTAGTATCACAAAACTGTCCTGGGTTTACTCTTCAGATTAAGATCTGCATCATGCCTTGGGCAATATGAAATGGCACTCATACCAAGTGAGCTGTGTGTGGAGTCTCAAATATTAAATAGCCACAGTGGGGAGACAGGAAGAGCTACACATTTGCAGCTGTGGAAAGCATGCTGAAAGCAGTACCTAGAGCAACACTGGAACTTCCAACTAGACTGCAGGGCAGAATAACAGTTATAAAAAAACAACAGTTATAAAATAGTATATAAATGACAAGGGTTTTTTTGGTTCAGCCTCTGGGTCAGCCCAAAACTATTATTTTTATCCATCAGAGCACCCACTAAACAGAGATTATAAACCATAGGATCTGAATTTTCCTACCGGAGCTGAATGTTTACTTCGAAGATAGTGGTTGTAACAAAACTCATCTGGAAATAAAATAATTTAAAAGGGAAAGCACAAAGCCTCTTTTTGAGCATCCATCTCTCAATCTTCTTTAAACAATGAAAGGCAATCATGGCTCTTTTGTTTATTCATTTCATATTCAACAAACCGACTTCAAAAGATATTTTTCCTAAATATCACTTGGGATACCATGGGTCTGATTCAACTCC